TATCTTGGTTGCCTTTAGGACAGAGCTGTTTTTCTGAGTACCTTGATGTATCCAGATACTTTGCCCTCCAGTGCTGAACTGTCTTTTTGGCGTTTGCGCTCTGAGCTGTGTTCTGCGTCTCTCGGTGTTTTGTGTGCCCCCGGTGTTGTGGGGACGTTTTTCCCGAGTTTTTTTGCCACATTTTTTCTCACCCTTTTAGCTGTGACCCCTGTGCCCATGTGCAGATTTTTGCCCCCTTTTTTTTTAGGGGTATTCTGTGTGTAGGAGTTTTTTTTTATCTTTTTCTTTTTTTTCACACACACACATACACATACACACACACACACACACACACACACACACACGTGCATTCACCACAATTTCAAATGGATCAAGAACCTCAACAGCAGATTCTTAACTGTGAAGCTGGTAGAGAAAAAGAACACACACACACACACACATTCACCACAATTCCAAATGGATCAAGAACCTCAACAGCAGATCCTTAACTGTGAAGCTGGTAGAGAAAAAGATTGGAAGTACACTTTGAAATGAAACCACAGCCAAGGACTTTCTAAATAATACTCATTTCACTCAGAAAATATGGCAGATAAACAAATGGGACCTCATGAAATTAAAAGGCTTCTATCAACCAAAGGAAATCATTAATCATGTGAATATACAACCGCCAAAATTGAAGAAAATCTTTGTCAGCTACTTGCTCTCAGACAATGTATATATAGTATCTATGAAGAAATCAAAACTAAACAAAAACAAACCCTCAACATTATGAAAATATTCCTGGAGCAAAACTTGGGCCCTGGAACTCAACAGTGTTACCAAAAGAGAAAAACCATGCCTTGTGTGCATTTTTAACATTTTAAATATTCAACATCATTAGCTGTCAGGAATATGCAAATAAAACTAATTAGAGAGTTTATCTTACCCCAGTCTGAATGGCTATTGTGAAGAAAAGAAATGATGCTACAAAGTTACACAGAGAAACCCTATTTTAAAAAAAGAAAGAAAAGAAAAGAAGGTAGAGAAAGAAGTCAGATGACAACAAATGTTTGAAGTGTGGGCAAAGAGAAGAAAATCCAAATATAAGGGGGTGAGAAAGGAGTAAATGCAGATAATGGATGTGAGTGTTGAAAGAGAATACAAGGCTACTGTGTTCTAGTTATAAATTTGTCATGGATTTTTGGTTTTGATGATGGAAAATTGAATGCAATATAAGTGATATTGAAAGTGAAACATTTAATCTGAGTCTTAGTAGCTTCTCTTTTGAGTATCAAATCTAACTGTATTTTATATACAATTTATATTCATTAAGTTTATAGGCTTAGAGTCTCATTAATTCGGATTTATATTGTTTTTACTTATTTACAAGTTTCTTTATAATAAAATGTAGTTTTTTTAACTTTAAAGAAGAAAATGTGGGGAAAGAGAAATACTTTTGGGAGTACAAACTGACCCAACCCTTACTGAAAATACTGTTTTCAGTTTACTATAAAGTTGAAAAGAAAACATCCATATGACCCAGCTATCAATTCTTAGGAATATACTGAAACTATTTAGGTATAATCTACTATATACTATAAACTATATATAAATATGCTATATAAAACTTAGGTACAACTATACAGGTATTTGAACATCTGTGTTCATTGCAACTCCACTCACAATAGCTAGGAAACAGGTTCACTCTACATGCCATCAACTGAAAAGTAGATAATGAAATTATAATGTGTATATACAATTAAGTTTCACTCAGCTATACATAAGGAATTATGTAATTTTCAGTAAAATACATGGAACTGGAAAATATACCTAATGAGGTAACTCCAGCACAGATAGACAACCATTGCATGTGCTGTCTCATATAAAGACCCTAGACAAATTCTTAGTGTGTTTAACTTGAAGTGTATATTAAGTACAAGAAACTGGAAATGGGGCATTAGGAGAGGAACATGAAAAAAAGAGACCTTAAAGAGAGAGAAATTCCAGAATACCTCTGGTATGAATGTGAATGGAGGGAACATGAGACTGAGTAGGTTAATGTGAAGATGGCATGAGAGGATGAGGGGTAAAATTAACCAAAACCACTGGGCAGTGGTGGTACACTCATTTTATCCCAGCACTTGGGAGGCAGAGGCAGGTAGATCTCTGTGAGTTCAAGGCCAGTCTGGGATACAAAGTGAGTTCCAAGAATGGTGCACATCTACACAGAGAAACCCCGCCTCAAAAAACTAAAACCAACCAACCAACCAACCAACCAACCAACCAACCAACGAAACCCCCCAAAACCAAAACCAAAACCAAAACCAAGGATATATGACAATGCATTATGGATATTCATTAGTTTTAAGCTCATTAAAACATATAAGTGAAGGTACAATACCACTTCCAGGAGTCATAGGTTATTAAGTGAAAACTCCATTGCTAGTGTTGGTATACCTCCCTAGGATTTGTTGCATAGTAAGGACTGAGGAATCAAATAAAATAGGAAATTGTCACTGTTGTCAGTGCTCCCTAAAACTAGCTAATAAGACCCTATTTCTAAATACATCCTCATAATCTTATCACAGTATATAAAGAAAGCAAGCTGGGAATGGGTTGAAATATGCCTTCCTGTGTAATAACTCCCATAGTGCCAGAAATTGTTGTGCAGTCTGATAGTAGGAGACTCTTGTCAACAGTCATATTCAGCTGTGTACACTGTGCTCTATACGTCAAACAGCCTTACAAGATATGTCCACTAACTAGTATAATAATGGGAATTGTGGTATCAGGGTAACCAATCATTTTCTGATTGAGAAGAGTTCAAATGTGGTATAGTCAATGTGGTTGAATATCTATGCTGGGGAGGGCATAGGTCCTAATCCTTTTATGGTGTATAGGCAGTTAGTGGTTGCTGGTGGAGAGAGAGGTATTTTTTTCAGTATAGGAGCTACTGGTGAGAAACCCATGTTCCTTTAAATGACTCCTTCCCTGTGCTTCAGTAATAGTGTTGAAGCTATCACTGTTGTTCTGCTAAATGTACTTGATATGCACATCAAATTCTCTTCTAAATAGCTATGTTTCTCCTTATATATCACTACTGTTAGCTGGGTTAAAAAAGATTCTTCTCGTAGTGCAGTAGTAGTTTTGGAGACTCAAAGTTGGCCAAAATGCTGAGAATAAGTGTCCTTTTCAGTGCTCACCAAATGATATGATCTAGATGCCCTCCCATGTAGCCTTTAGAAACACAGAGGACGAAGGTATGGAAATGATACAAATGCTAAAATATGTAGTAGAATGCTGTGGAATATTGTCTTCTAGATATGATATGACCATAGGACATTTTAACTCTTAGTATCTGGGATTACTGCACAAGACCTGCATAAGACTGGGCCCTAAAATACTCTATCAAGGGAAGAGAAAGTACTCCCAAGTATCCACCACTTTCCTCTGGATTTATGAGCAGTCAAGTGTAATTAGGGGACAGGACTCATGACATCCCATTCCTTCCACAGTCTATAGGCAGTTAGTGGTAGCTGGTGGAGGGAGATGTATTTTTTTCAATATAGGAGCTACTAGTGAGAAACCCATGTTCCTATAAATGACTGCTTCCCTGTGGTCCATTAAGCAACCCCAATGGACTTCACTGCGTCATAAACAGAATCATGCAGAAAAGGGACATGGAAGTAGAAAGCAGAGTTAATTGGGAAGAGGAAAAAGATCAACAAAAGTGGAAACAACAGAAGAGAATAGTGGGCCATTAATGTGATCAAAATTACCTGCATACATGTATGAAATGTCATAATGAAACATGTTGTTATATATAATTATTATGACTCAATAAAAGTTAAACTATATGCAAAGTGTTAAGAATCCATGCCTATGAAAATACTTTTGTGACAATAAAGAAAATAGGACTTACAATATTTGTTAAGATGTGTCTTAACAAAACAGTAAACAGTCAGGATAATGTATGGGAAGCCAGTAAAAAAAAAGACTAAGAGAAACCACCACTGAGTTGTGTGGTAGGAACATGCACATTCGTTATTTTTCTGCTGCTGTGTTAAAATATCATGAACAAAGGCAACTTAAGTAAGCAGAGACAGCTTAATTTTGGCTTATTATTCTAGAGGGTTAAGAATAAATGATGGGAGAAAAGAGACAATGACAACAAGTGGCAGGCAGGGCTATAGCAGCAGGAAGCTGTTATGTCATCTCCTCAACTACATCCAGAAAGCAGAGGCAAGCATCTGGAAGTGACTTAAGAACTTAACTTTTTGATGTGGATCTAGGGGAGCACTCCTCCACTGCTAGTGGTATTGCAAACTTGTACAAGCCACTTTGGAAATCAATATGGAGGTTTCTCAGAAAACTGAGAATCAATCTACCTCAAGACCCAGCTACACCATTCTTGGGCATATACCCAAAGGATGCTCAATCTTTCCATGAGAACATTTATTCAACTATGTTCATGACAGGGTTTTTCACAATAGCCAGAGCATTGAAACAACCTAGGGGCTCCTCAGCCACACATTGGACAAAGAAAATGTGGTAAATTTCCACAATGGAGCATTATTCAACTGTTAAAATCAATAACATCGGGAATTTTGAAGGCAACTGGAGGAACCAGAAAAAAAAATCATCCTGAGTAGGTATCCCAGACACAGAAAAACAGACATGGTATGTACTCACTCAAGAGTGGATAATAGCTGTAAAGTAAATGATAACCATGCTACAATCCACAGCTCCATAAAGACTAGGTAACAAGGAGAGCCCAAAGTGTATGGTGATGTACTGATGTCCCTGGGAAGGGAAAATAGAAGAGATCTCCTGGGTTGACTGGGATGGGAACATGATAGATTGGGTTGGGGACATGGTTGGAATGGGAGAGTAATGAAAGAAACATCTTGATGGTGGGCGTTTGGGGTCAGATAAAAACCTGATAAGAGAACTCCCATGAATCTACAAGGATGACTCAAGCTAAGACTATTAGCAATAGTGGATAGGTAGTCTGAACTGACCATTTCCTGTAATCAGGTTGGTAACTATCCACATTGTCATCAGAGAGCCTTCCGCAAGTGACTGAAGGAACCAGATAGAGAGACTCACTGGGATTAGCTCAGGAAATCCTGTTGAAGAGACAGAGGAAAGATTGGATGAGCCAGGTGGCTCATGGTCATCACAAGGGTACCCACAGAAACAAATGACATGGGCTCATAGGAGCTCACAGTCTCTGGACTCACAGCTAGGGAGCTTGCATGGAACCAACCTAGGGCCTCTACACATGTGTGACATTTGTTTAGCTTGATCTGCTTGTAGAACTCCTAGTGAAGAAAGCAGGGCACATCCCTGTTTCTTTGGTTGACTTTTAGGAACCTATTCCTCATAGTGGTTTACCTTGTCCAGCCTAAATACAAGGAGTTTAGCTCTACCTGAACTTGATATGCCATGCTTTGTTGACACCCATGCTGAGGCCTGCCCCTTTCTAAACAGAAACAGAGGAGGAGTGGATTAGGGTGTGGGGTGGGGAAAGTGGTGCGTGGAGGGGATTGGAGGGAAGGAGGGAGGGGAAACTGGTCAGGATACAGAATACATGAATTAATTTAATTAAAAAAAGAATTTAGAACCTCTCAAAGCCCACACTCAGTGATGTACCTCCTGCAAGGTTGTGCCTCATGAATCTTCTGAAACAGTGCCATCAAGTGGGAAACAGGTGTTTAAATGTCAAGGTCTATTTGAGGAATTTCTTATTCAATACCACAAATTATTACACCTACCTTAGTACTGGAAAGAGCAGATACTGCAAACCTTGTTGGGATGCTGTGTTATGGGCAAGCTGTGTCTGTGTCTGTTGTGTAGTGGCATGTGAAAACAGAAAGACTTCACAATTAGGTTCAAAATGGTGATGAGACTTGGAACCACATATTAGTTGAATACAGAGAGATCAGATGTAGCCAAGTGAAGACTACAGAATATGCTAAAGGCTAGGGATGTAACCAAGTTAAATAAAATACATGATCTTGAGAGTGAGTGCCAACATTAAATTGATGGAACATGGTAGTAGGTCCTTTAGTCCTAGAACTCAAGAAGTGGATTCCTGAGGAACAGAGCTTCAACATTGTCCCTGGCTATATAGAATTCAAGACCAACCTGAGCTATATCTCACTTTGTCATTAAAATGTCTCTGAGCCTCCCCCAAGTCCTATATTTAACAGGACACTCACCATTTCCTTTGATGAACCATTCAAAATAAGTTGTCAGTGACTCTGGAATCTTAACAAATTTTGTCTTACTCCAGAAAAAATAACCAGACACAAGAACATCTCTGGGATTTCTGATGACATAGATTATCTTAAATAGAAAAACATGTACATGACGGTCAACATAGCCATTCCAAACCTTTTAACTTGCACAATATATATGAAATGTCAGTCAAATCACCATGAGGTTTCTAAAAACTTTATTTTTATTTGGACAAAACTTTACATAAATGCAAATATCTATAGTGAGAATCCTCTATTATAAATTTATTTCATTTACAAACATGTAACTGCACAATTACTCAGGTCACTAAGACTTTAAAAAACAAAACAAGTATAACAAAAATCCATGGCTGATCCTATATTTATAAAGATCAATGTCTTACAGTGTGAAAAACCATCCATCCATTGTGAAAGAACATCTTATATACTCAGAGATGAGTACTGTGCTAAATACATTTGCAATATGCAAACCTAATTGTTGTCCACAACCATAACTACCAAATATAACTTTCCAAAGAACCATGGTGCAAATCTCAAGGCCAGTGTGTCATTGCCCAATAGTGGACACAAAGACTTACAGGCAACTCAGAAATGCAGAGAGTCAGAGAAATAGACTTTCCCTGGGAAAAGCATAACAATTGGTTATGCAATTCCAAATGCTCAGCCCTGAAAATATACAAAGAACTAACATTTTATATATATCGCAGGTTGCATTTAAATATTGAGAAATAAGTAGATACATATATAGATATAACAACAATTAATGAAAAAAGACTGCAAATTTGAAAGACAGAATGGAGTAAACCTTGGAGAGAGGAAGAAGGGGGATGATGTATGTATTTATGTTATGATCACAAACAATAAAAGAAACTAATTAAATATAAACAATAATTTAATAAAAGGAAATTCATATTTTGTACCAATGATCTGTGTAACATTATTCTAGAATTCAACTTTTTAGACTTCAATTTGTCTAGCCAAGAGTTTGCCAAATCCACATAAAACACACACACACACACACACACACACACACACACACACACACATATATAATGTCACAACTTCATTGTGATATTATCAAGAGAGATAATAGTTCTACATTTGTCTTTGTATTTTAAGTATAAAATATTTTTAAGTTCCATGGTGCAGAAACTTCCAGAAAGCTTTCTTACAAACTACAAACTATGATAGGTCAGAACCTGCATATCTCTGTTCCCCTCTGAAAATCCTCTATCATTGGTGTTGGGGATTCCTGTGGCTACTGATCTCAATGGACAGCTAGATACAACAACACACAGTGGGTACAAATGGGCCATGACTGCTGAACAATCTCCATGATTAGAGTACTGATGCCTGGTCAGGCTGCTTCTTCTATGAGCAAACCTGCCTGGGGTGATTCAAACACTGATCATGGAATACATATATCCATACATATATGCAGAATCACAATTAGCTAATTGACTTTGATGATAGCAAAACAGTAATGTCCACTGTACACTAGAGTTTGCCCACTACTTGACCTATATGTGTAGTTCCTGAATGCTCTAGTTGATATTTCACATTCTTTCATATATCTGCTAAGGATCAATGTGTGGTACTTGACATTCTGGTACTCTGATGTAGTCTGAGGAGGAGACACATCTGCATCACTTAGTGCATGTGAATCTCATGTTCTCACCCACAGCCTACACAATTTGAGTGCATTTCAAGAGCTCCAGGTCCCACCAAGGTTGATGAAGTTCAAAAAACATTTGGTCAAAGATTTCTCAACTACTGGATACTGACCTTGGCCTTGGAACTGAAGAAAGATTCGGGGAAAAAATGGAAGGGAAGGTGGGAGTTGATGAGGCGTGGTCCTTCCTTATTGATTAATTTTTGATATCCCCTTTGACTCTCTATCGAGAGTGAGCGGTCCCAGATAGGCACAGATTGGACCCAAGTGGGATCCCCCTTGCTCTGAATCAAGCAGACAATCTCCTTCATCCAGTTACTTCCTGAAGAAGGAAAAGTAATGGTCATTCATTTCAACAGAACTTGTTAAAAAGCCTCAAGTAGGAAATTGTACACCTGTACAATTTACAGTGTATCTGTTTTCAAGCACACAGACCTGTGGTGTTCACAATGTCCACATATGCTCTAAGTACAAATTATATTCATCTAGCACATTGCCAGTGCTTCACATGCAGAAAGTGAGATTCTACTCAATTAACTCCACCTGAAAGTTCCCTCAAGTCCTGGGCCATCATTATTCTACTTTCTGGTGCTGTGAGTTTGACTTTCCCAGATACTTCACAGGGATGTAGTTGTGGACTCTGTCCTTGAGACTAGCTCCTTTCTTTTAATGCAAAGCAATTGATATGCTTCCATGCTGCAGTATGTCTATGAGTACTGCTTCTCATTAGGTGAATAAATCCCCTTCTGTCAATTTTCCACACACACTTGCATTTAAGTTTACTTGTCCTTGGGTATTTCTCTAGCTTTCTTCTCTGGATCAATGTATGAATCTTCTTCATGGAGTCCACTGCCCTTGGCTTTTCCATGTTCTTTCACTGTCAATGTCAGCAACCTAAAACTTACCTATGTTCAGTGCTTCTGCCACCCAGCAAACAACCCTCCCCAAAGCCCATGCTGCTTCTTTTTGGTTCCTTGAGTTTTGAGAGTGTTTTCACTCCTTGGACAAGGTCCATAGTAATTCTTCTACCTGACATTGTCCTCTCCTCCTCATCTTCTTACATCCATGCCTTCATACCTTGGTGCTATTTCTTCTGTTTATTTCCCTCATTTCTCCCTTCCATTCTCCTCCACACAGAGACAGAACAATGCCAGAGTCTCCCTTAGGATCAACTGATATTGCTCACATGGCCTAGATGAGCCTCTCCCCACACAGAAAAGGCTGGTGTTCTTTCTCTGAGTGAAATGCACTCAAAAACAGCAATCCATGCCCACAAAACATTTTCAACATCAGATATAATAGAGAGCATGCCACTAATCACCCAAATGAATGAGGATCAAAGCCTTATGCTTCCTCATACACTTCAGGATCATTCTCACTAACGGTTCTTACCTGATTTAGGGTAAGTCAGTATGAATGTGTCTTCATCTCTGAACACAAACTTATCACAAGATTTTTCCATTATTTCTTTTTCATACTCTATAGTAGGGAAAGGTATCCCTTCAAACCAAAGGTAGTCTGACATGGCAAAGAGCTCTTTATGGATGCTATTAGGATACAGCTTTAGCCAGATTTTCAGCTTCTGGCAAATGTTGAGAGGTAATCTTTATAGTGTAGGCAAAGAAATTATTAATACTCCACAGTTCCTTGTAAATACAGCTACTTACAGGAAGAAATGATGTAGTAACCAGTCAAAGGTTTTTGTGTTAAGCAATTGTAAACACATTCAGAGATGATTCTGCAATATTCATGGTCCCAAACCAGAAACTCAATAACAAGTACTAGGACATAAAAATGAGGTTTAATTTAAAATGTTTTCTAATACAATTCAGCTTTCAGAATGGTTTCAAATGTGCATAAAAGTTACAGAGGTCATACAAAATGTTACCACATGAAAGTTTTTTTTTAAAGTAGTGCTTATTTTTGAGAAACTCAAGCCCTTAATTGTGCTATATGGCTCCCACCTTCACTCTCCCCCTCCAGTGCCCCATTCCCTTCCTGTATTTATGATTTCTTCTTCACTTTTCAGTTTATGTATATGTATATTTATATGGTTTATATGTATATGATCACATGTACATATAACCTACTGAGTCCAGTTAGTTCTCTTTGTATGTGAATGTACTCTGAGTGGAGCACTTGTGATTGGGAAACCAATATGGGATTTCCCTACTGAGGCAGATGATTCTCTTTTAGCAGCCTTTGACCTCACCTAGAGGTAAGACCATGTAAAATTTATCCTGCCCTTATTTCTATACCAACTGTTGTGATTATGATAGCATATTTGACTACATATACTTTTGAGAGTTCATAGGTGTATTTTCCTGTCATGTCTAGGGTATATGTCCCATCAATTAGGATCCTTAGCTGCTGGGGGATTTCTGTCCCCTCTTCTGTGTTTTTTCCAACCTTTCAATTAAATGAACTCATTGCAGATTCATCAGTTGTGGTTGGGCACCTTGCAGTCAATTATTCTTTGCATTTTTACCAGTTGTGGGACTTTGTAATAGTCTCCATATGTTGCAAACAGAAGCTTTTTTTTTTTAAAAAAAAAGATTTATTTATTTATTTATTATGTATACAGTGTTCTGCCTGCATATACCCCTGCAGGCCAGAAGAGGGAGCCAGATCTCATTAGAGATGGTTGTGAGCCACCATGTGAGTGCTGGGAATTGAACTCAGGACCTCTGGAAGAACAGCCAGTGTTCTTAACCTCTGAGCCATCTCTCCAGCCCCAGAAGCTTTTTTTGATGAGGGTAAGAATTATATTTATCTGTGTGTAAGAGATAGGTATTAAGAAAACAGATAGAAACTATACTGGATTCTGGTACTTGTAGTAGCAGGTTCACCTCTTAGATCTATGTGGTTCCAGGTCAAAGTGGTTGTCTATGTGTACAGTGCCAGACATGGCTTCCCACTAGTTGAGTGTGCCTTAAGTTCGATTAGTCAACCCTTGAAAACCCAAAGATGAAAGCTCCACTTTTGCATCATCATGGATATCTTGCTAGTCAAGTTATTGTTGTGGTTCACAGATATCACACCTGGATAAGCCGAGTGATTGCTCTTCTCCCTCGGAAGCTTTTCACTTTATGAAAGCCACTTGTCAAATAAGAGGTTCCAGGTCAATTTCAGTTCAATTCCTACGAATTCTGTGTCTAAAGTGTATTGCAGTTTGGCAACAGAGTTGTAATCTAAGTTCTGTGTGCCAATCAATCAAGGGCAATAATACTTGGTATTGTTTTGAAGGTTGCTTGGAGTACCGTGAACAACTAGAGAGGGAGTTTCTCATGCATGGTGCTAGAGTTTTCCCTTACAGTCCATGGCACTTGGAGGGAGTATTATCATTATAAATTTCATAACATCTTTAAAATACATGTTAATACATGCATATTATATATGACTTTAGATAAATATGAGATAATAAACTTCCCTGTGTCTCTCCAAACATCCTTGGTAGTATTTATCTCTCCTTCCTCTCTGTCACTCTGTATTCTCTCTGTACCCATATCAGTTCAAGTCCCTGAATTTCTTCTATTTCTCCCTTTGTAGCACCTGTATGCTATTCCTGTATCTCGAGCTTTTTCATTAATTGCTCCAGGTTTTCTTTCTTAGTTCTGTAGTTATTCCAGGTTATGAATGCATATCTGCAAATGTGTAGACAGGAAGCACAAAGAAGGAGGAACATTTAGCATTTGTTTTCCATGTCTGGGTTACCTCTCTCATTATAATACTTTTTAGTTTCACCCAGTTATCTGAAAATTTTCATGACTTCATTTTTCTCTGCAGCTGAGTAGAATTGTATGTATGTATTACATTTTCATTTGTCATTCTTTTGTTGAAGGATTGGGCTTATTATCAGTGTTAGTTATGGGTTTTATCTGATGGAGTTGGATTTAAATTCAATTAAAAGTTGTTGACTTCTCCCACAAAGTTTGTACCATTATTGCACCAGTATATCTTGAAGATAGCTCACTTTTGTAGATGTGTCATACTGATGATTGATTTTCTTCTCCTGCAGTGTGCACAGTAACTTCCAGGACTATTAATGATAATCGTCCTTGATGATACTTCCTCTTGTATACCAGATCCTTTTCTCCATATTCAATGATATAAGTTAAGTTCTGTGTTCAGGAATAAGGCCTTACTATCAGGTTGTGGAAGGTAATCAATAACACTGACAATAGCCTATGATGTTGGGTGGTGGTGGACTGTGGCAACCCTTTGACCAACTACTGAAAAGATGTAACTAATTCCTGGTACTTGAAATTTTACTTGGTAGCATATGATTTCTGTAGGGAAAAGGGCTGGCTAAAGAAAAGCACCATCACCATGGAGCCCAGAAGTAGAGAAAGATGTCTCAGATCAGGGCAGAAAGCAACACAGTTTGGTTTAGTCAGATCAGAACCATCTCTTCCCCTGGCTAACTGACTTGTGAAACCAACCAATCACAGAGCAGGACAGTAGAACCTTGGGCCCCAAGTCAACCCCTAGTTTACTACACCCCCAAGATATCCTGTGTAAACCACCATGTCTAGTCCATTAAAAAATGCTGTTCTCTTCACTCAGTTTGAGGTAGCTACTCTCCTGGACTCCTCCTTCCCAAATAAATCTCTTTCTCAAAAGATTTTTTGGGTGTGAAGATCTTCATTCACTGGCATAGAGAAAACCCTTGCTGAGAAGTCCCTCAGTGGAGAAAACAAAGGAGAGTTGAAAGAGCAGAGCAAGGTGGAGCTTAATAGAATATCTTTCCTGAGAGGTCCCTCAATGGACAGAGCAAAAGAGAGTTGAAAAAGTTGCACTCTTCCCCAGAGCCAGAAAAGATTGCTACATTTCTGCAGAGGTTTCCCCTTTTGCAGAGTGAAGCAAAAGAAGCAACATTTTAGGCTGGAGAAGCAGAACTCTGCTAGGAAGATGCCTTAGGTGGGGGCTGAGCAAAGCTCAGCTGTAGTGGCTCTTCAGGAGCAGAACAGGATTGATATATCCTGTGTGGAGACCATCCCCTATCACACCAGGTAAATATACCTTGACTTTCCAGAACAGTCATGATACCCTTCCCTGGTGAAGCAGTTCTAGGCCTGACTTTCCAGAAAAGTCAGAAAAATTTCCCTTCCAGGGTTGGGCTTCTTCCTTGCAGTTCCAGCCATCAGAGATGCGCTAAACAGCTCCAGGAGTCCAGGACACCTTCAGGGCAGAACTATTTTTCTGTGAAGCTTGAGGCGTCTGGAATACCTTGCCCTCCATGGCTGAAATGTCCCCTTGCAGTTCCAGCTGTTAGAGCTGTCCTAAGCAGCTCAAGGTGTTGCCTGACTCTCCAGGTAGTGAGGACACCTTTCCCCAGTGTTGTTCCAACAAATTTACTTACATTGTTGGTGCTGAAACCCAGGACCAAACCCACAGTTGTTGCAAATAATTTACTTAAAATTTCTAGTTGGAGCATTATCTCCTCTATATAGCATAATGAAATTTAAATTATCTTATTTACTTTAGGGAGTTTTCACAATAGTAAGTTACCACATGACTTTTCAATATGTCTTTATTATTAATTATAGTAAACAGTAGGTATATATATCTGGTTATATAATACATATAAAATTATATATCTATGTAAGATTATATATATAATTTTAATTGCTTGTTGATAAAAATTTGATCTGGCTTATTATTTTGATATTACACAAGATTGTGGAAATAATGGAAACTAACTGTACAGAATAATTCCAGTAACAATAGAATATCATATTTTTTGTATCATGCTTTCTATTGGTGCACCCTTAAGCTACCAAATCATGACAAGGAGACTCATAATTATTTATGAATGCTTTTCTTTACCTATGCGTGTCTCACTAGCTCTTATAATTTAAATTAACCTGTTTCTCTTATCTACATTTTGTCTCAGTATTTTTACCTTTCTTTCATTCTGTATGTCCTACTTGACCTGCTTGTCTGTCTGTCTGGTCCTGGGTACCTGCCTCTCTTTCTTCCTCATTCTCTCCACTCTACTTTTCTTTCTAGACTCCTCCTCCTATTTATTCTCTTTTCTCACCACCCTACCTATGTCTCTCCTGCCTAGATACTGGCTGTTTGCCTTTGTGTTGGACCAATGAGATGCCTTAGGGAGGCAAGGAAAACAAATAAACACATCTGTAGATATTTAAACAAATGCAGCATAAACAAATGTAACACACATTTATGTATATAAAGTAATATTCTGCAACATAAACAAATGTAACACATCTTCACATAGTTAAAGTAATATTCCACAAAACATTTTGAATTCATCTGATATACTAAATTTTGGTCATTAGAATGAAAATGGCCCCACAAAGGAAGTGGCAATATTAGCAGATGTGGCTTTGTTTGGGTATGTGTGACCTTATTGGAGGAAGTGTTTCACTGTGGGGTGGTCTCTGAGGTCTCATTTACGCTTAAGCCAATTCCAATGACTCAGTCCATTCCCTATTGCCTTTGGATTAAGATACAAGGACTCTTAGCTTTAGCAACACATTTTCCTGTATGTTGCTCTGTTTCCCACCATGAAAATAATTACTCAACCTCTGAATTGTAAGTGAACTACCCCATTAA